CACACACACACACACACAAACTACCCTCAGAGGCAATAGGACAGTAAATGAAAGCATCACACATGTGCTTGTGTTGCCTTCAGGTTCTGAAGGTTTTAGAATTTATTGATGCCAAAAACAGAAACTTTCTCATGATGTTCAATGGAGAGAGAACCACAACACTGACAGCCAGTCAAAGTGAAAGGAGAAGAGAAAGAGCAGCGATTTACTCAAAGCGACTGTGAACTGAGTGTTGGTTTGATATCACTGAGTAGTAGGATGGAGGAAACGTCTCTGCTGTGTCTGCTCTGTAAGTTCACTCTGTGTTTTTCATGCCTCTGCTGTCTTCTTCAATGTAAAAACTGAGTTTAACTGTGTTAAGTTTAATTTCTCACTGCTGAGCTACACCACAAACCAAGGTCAGTAACCTTCTTCTGTCACACTGTAAACCTGACTCACTCCTCCAGGAGACTGTGGGACACCTTTATGAAGAACATGGTGCAGATCAATAAAAACATCAAACTCTTCTGTCATAATAGTGTTATTTTACTCCTGCTGACTCTGTTAATTAAATGAAACTCATATACATGTCTGACTTCAAGACTTCTGCTTCTTAATGAAAACTCTCATTTAAGAAAATATAGAAAGAGACATTAAAAGCTCAACATACAAATAAATATAGAAAGAGTAAATAAACAGGGATTAGTAGCTTCCATACTCCATTAGAACATTTATTTTTATTTGATTTTTAATATATCTTATTAAATACAACTATATGTAAACACACGGTTTTTGTGGGTTTTTTAATTAGATTATAATATCTGTTTTAATGCCATGCAGTGACAGCTGGTAATGAATGGAAACAGGAAATATGGGGTTAAAAGTTAACCTCTGAAAATCAACAGGGGAATGGCAGCAGGTGTTTTAGAAATGCAGCAGTTATTGAAAATAGCCATCACTTCACTTTTGTGTGTATGTCTGTCCTAGTGTTCATAACACTGCAGGTCAACAGGAGTCACAAAGTGTCATAAATTCAGTTGTTGTGAAAGGTGTCTGATTGCTAAAAAAAATGTACATAATGTGCTGTATATCCTCTTTTCTTCTTCTTCTTCCTCACAGCTCGTCTGACTGTGAGTCCCAGCAGCTCTCAGCTCTTTGAAGGAGACTTTGTGTCTCTGAGCTGTGAGGAGGACGACAGCTCTGCTGGATGGACTCTGAGGAGAAACACAAGCAAACAACAGAGGACTCAGTGTGGAGATGTGGGGAAAAAGAATGGTTCTTCCTGTAAACACACGATCTTCTACATGGACAGTGGAGTTTACTGGTGTGAGTCCAGAGAGGGTCCCATCAGTAACATGGTTAACCTGACAGTCACTGGTAAGCTGAGTGTGTGGAGTTAGTGTTGATGAAGCTGTGTGTAAATGGATGAAATGCTGTAGTTTGTCTCTGTGTTGAGGTGGATCAGTGATCCTGCAGAGTCCTGTCCTCCCTGTGATGGAGGGAGATGACGTCACTCTGCTCTGTAAAACAAAGACCACTCCCTCCAACCTCACCAGCTGCTTTCTATAAAGATGGCTCCCTCATCAGGAAGCAGCCTACAGGTCACATGACCATCCAGCATGTTTCCAGGTCTGATGAAGGCCTCTACAAGTGTGACATCAGCGGTCATGGAGAGTCTCCATCCAGCTGGATCACTGTCACAGGTGACACACTCACCTGTCTGTGTTTCTGCAGCTTTCAACATTCACAATGTGACGACAACTTAATGACTGTGTTTGCTTTATTTTAGAGAAACACACCACCACACCTCCACCTACATCCACACCTCCACCTTGCATCCTCTTGTAACTCCTCGCCTGTTGTCTCTGTGTTGTCATTCTTTTTAACAGTCTGTGTTGCAGCTCTACTCATTTCAATAATTCTGTTGATAAAACTTTGTGATGTTAGAAAACCTGAAGGAGACACTCGGACCTCTGGATTTGACTCAGGTTTGGTTTTTTCAGAACTATGTACAAGTATATCAATGACTTTAAACGTGTCATCAAAACTTGCACAGCGTCATACTGCTGTTCCTTTTGGTTTGCTTCAGCTAATCAAGTGGAAGCTATAGAAGACAATCCAATCAGTGACAGTCTTATGTGACATCGGACAGAGCAGAGGTGGTGTTCATGTTCTTTGTTTCTACTAATGAACAAATAAATGAATGAAAATGATTATCTGCTCTTCTTCCCTTTTCTGGGAGGCAGTGGGGAGGTAGAGCGTACAGCCCGATCCAGCGGGGAGGTGTGGGAAGCCAGATCAGGCGCCCCCCTTCTGGCTCTCCTCTCTGCTCTCTCCTATCTTGTCCCTTTTGTCTTACTTCTCTCTATCACCTTTTCTATCCCTTTGAAGAAAGTTGAGGCTCCATAAATGCTAAAGAGTAAGTATTATTTCTCAGTTGCAGTGAATAGATAGAAAATAAACTGTAGAAACTAAACAGAAGAAAGAAGAAGAGAAATAACAATTTAACATAAACCACGACACTCCAGGGCCTGATCAACCCTGGCAGGGCCTCCTTGATGAGGGTGTCTAGTGATAATGGCCGAAACACCCGATGAATCCAAGGTCCACTACTGACGATGTGTCCCAAATCTTAATATGATAATCTAGATCAGAAATCTAATCCCCCTAAAAATGGCAGATTAGCCTTAAAGACGGAAAGTTGAGGCACACAACGATGTCTCTGGGCTGCCTTTCCTCATAACAGCCATCCCTCAAGATTCTCGCCATTTAAAGCAATGCATTATCAGGGACTACAACATCTAGTCCTTTTACTGAATCGAATAAATAAATCACTCGAATAAACAAATAGCTCATCCTTCAGCTACCTTTTGACCGCCAATTGACCTTTGACCTTTCTGTTTACATCATTCTCCTCGTGTCTGTGTGGGTTCTCTCTGGGCGCTCCAGCTTAGTCCCACTGCCTAAGACATATGAGTGAAGTTATTTGGTGATTCTCGAGTGATTGTGATTGAGTGTGGATAGTTTGTCTTGCTACAGTCTGTTTTGTATCGCATCTTTCACACTAAGCCTGGGACAGTCTCCAGACCCCACTTGAGCATAAAGTGCTAAGTATTTTTTTAAACAGGTCGAAAGTAGTTGTTGTGTGTTTGTTGATGAACCATAACAGGGAGCATCTATTGTTTTTAGCCTATGATTAACAGGAAACTAACAGCTCTGTGGATTCCAGTTTCTGATGAAAACACTCCAGTGCTTTTTTATTAATAGACATGAGCCTCCAGAATTTAGTCCATCGTCCTCAGTCTCTCCAGCTTTTTATATACAGATGTAAATTGACTGATACTAAAAAGAACACATAGATAAAGATAAAGGACATGAATGATTTTTGTATCTTATTCAAATCAGCCGCAGAGGAAGCTTTCAGGCTGTATAACTTGCATCGATGTCCTCTGTGTGTTTTGTTCCGCAGGGATAAATCGGTATGCACTCTACTCAACAGTGAGGAAAAAAACACCACTTATTCACAAATCGTGAAAGACAAGAGAAACAAATCATAGTCAACAGGTACGGCTTCTCTCCTTTGTCTCTGTCATTGTTCCGAATCAGAACAAGATCCCAGCACGTTGATATTTTAGTCTGTATCAAAAGGACACTGATCAATGGCCATGAGTCCCAGTCACAGAGAGTTGGGGAATGGCTGCAATCACAGCATTGTAAGATGGTGACAGATGTACCCTTAGGCCCTTTTCACATAAATGGTCTCCATGACTTTCTGCTCAAACCAGCTTTCATGTGTACATCCTCATCATTGAAAGAGTGTCCACTGGCCTGTAGCCATATATAGACTGTGACGTTTTGGCATTTGTGCCGGGGCGCTCGATTCTTGGGGCAGACCAGTTTTTGGCGCAGCATATTTTGGGGTTTTGCGTCAGTATTGAAAAAGCTGAGATGCACTTTCTTTAATTAGTGGAGCAGGAAAAAGAAAACACCAAGAACTGTGTTTAAACCTGTTAAATTGACATAATGATGTTTGTCTTTCCAGAGTTTCCATCAGAGCCAGATGCCATCTCTCCCGTAAAAGATGTAGTCCACCAGTCCAACCACTGCAGTCCAGCTGAGGGTCTCGAATCCGTCCACCCAACACCCCAGATAACAATTACTTGTATAACCGATTAGTAGATATCTTCTGTTCTTTACATGGAGTTACAGTCACACAACTTTTGTGAGACAAGAAAATCAATTCAACAGTGAAAAAGATTTTTATATTAAAAAAAAACCTTTAAAAATGTAAATGCTAAAGACTAAAACAAAAAGCAATAATAATAATTGTCTTTATCACCACAGCAATTATCTGGTTTCTCTGCAAGATCAGTTAGCTTTGGTCTCATTTCTTTGTTCTTATTTGTGTGGTTCTGTGGGTTTTACAAAGATTTCTGAACGCAAAAATTTGAGGCGTTGTGGCAAACCCGTGCACACTTTTCTTCACTTTAACCAGACTGTAAACAGCATGAACATCATTCAGAAGGTCGACAGTGCACAGAATATATTTAGAACAAACTGGACGTGTCTATTTGTACATTTTGATTCAAGGAAATTGAATTTATGAGACTTCAGTTGTTTTTCAAACTAAGCATGCCTCCATAGTATTATATTTTTCGAATTATGCAGCTGCACACATTCATCTTAGCGTGTTTTTCAGTGTCTGTGGACACAGGGTATAGATTTTCTTTTAAACTTCTATGGCTGATTGCTTTGCTCCTACATTGTTCTTCAGTTTATTGCTATTATGTCAGTTTGATCAAAGAAAAAGAAATAAATATTACATATATTGTGAGGATCAATGTTCAAACAGGTCATGTTTTTGATGCAGTTGTAAGTGCCGTGTTTGATTGTGATATTTGCCTGTAAGTTGCACAATTGTGAGTCATTATGTTGCTGTGTATAATTAAATGAAAATGAAAAAATAAATGTAATGCTTATTATTAACAAAATTCATGTGAAGCAGCAAAGTTAATAAATTCAAATATAAAGTGTTTTTTTCACTGACTTAATTTCATGGATGCAAATACAAAACAACAATTCATTGTTCAGGGTAAAGTACTACTTTAATAGATATAAATCAGATTTTTATCATATATATTAGTTCTTTAGACAAATTTTAAACTGCATTTTTGTACATAGTTTCCATAAAGACAATGATGAATCTGTGCCTGTCATAAAAACTGACAACAAATGGATCAGAGCCACATCTGTATGTTTTAAAGAACAATCTAGTGAAAGCTAGCTTGCTGTGACAGTTGACTCTTTAGCTGCATCGTAACAAATGCAATGTACTGCAGGCTCACAGGTAAACAATTCTATCAGTACTTTCAAAGTCTTAAAACTGTAAATTTTCTGTGGATTTAGAATTGATAAGTTGACTGTGTTGTGCCCCCTGGTCTGACAGGTGGCTGGGAGGTGTGCAATCCTAGATCCTGCAGCTGTGCATTAAAATAAAGAGGCACAGATCATGAGCTTGTTTACAGTTTCAACTGCAGGATTTATTCTGCAGATTTGCCTCCGAAGAGGGTTTACGTTCCTCCTGAGCATTAGGCGCCATCTAGTGGTATCTTTAAGTAATGCCATAGAACATGTAAAGTGTTGCAGATAACACTGATTCAGCAAATATAATAAGACATAATAAGCACAAAAAAATATAACGGGGGTGTCCCTTTTTTTTACCTTGTTTGAAGACATGAACTGAACTTAAATCCCCATAAGTTATGAATGCTATTCTATTCTATTCTATTCTATTCTATTCTATTCTATTTATATAGCGCCAAATCACAACAACAGTCACCTCAAGGCGCTTTATATTGTACAGTATATCCTATAATAATACATATGGTGAAAAACCCAACAATAATATGACCCCCTATGAGCAGCACTTTGGCAACAGTGGGAAGGAAAAACTCCCTTTTAACAGGAAGAAACCTCCAGCAGAACCAGGCTCAGGGAGGGGCGGCCATCTGCTGCGACCTCCTGCTTCTTATCCCTTAACTTTTTACCTATTAGTTTAACTCATATTTCTGGCTTAAACACACCTTTTTAACCTTTTACAAATGCTTGAAAGTGTCAACAGTCAGTGCTGCAGAGAATTGTCTTTGTTGCAGAACCAAAAGTGACCACTAGCAGAGTAATATAAAGGTTGTAACAGAAGTAGTGGCTTAAAAGCAAACGGTGATTTCTCAATTTTTATCTAAAGTCTCTATTTTCTTGTAGCGTATTCAGAGATTCAGAGAATCTGATTAGTTTTTTCAGGTAACGAGTAAAGTAAGGGATTACTATTGCAAAAACGGTAATTAGATTACCGTTACTTTCCCGTAAGCACGCTGCGTTACTGCGTTACTGCGTTACTGCGTTACCTTACTTTGAGTTTGATTCCATAAAAAGTGACAAAAACATTATTGTCCGTTGTGCGTGGGAAGAAAACTTCTTTTTACAGCGAAAAAAAACCCCCTAAACTTCCAAGCAAGCACCGAGTGCGCTACGACGTAATGGGAAACTCACAGACAAACTCGCGGATTCTTCCACTGACCGCCGCGGCACACCTGCACCAGGGTAAACCTCCGCCTACCGCAGTCCTGCTTTACAGGTGAAAATAGAGCAACAGGACCGCTAGTTTTTGATGTTATTTATTTTCTGCTGTGTTTTACTTGCCTCTATTTGAAAGACTGAGTGTAAACACAAAAAAAATATTTTATGTGCTGCAATGTGCAGAAAATAAGTTTAAATGTTAAACAAATTTCTTCTAGTCAGAGAATGTTGCATATAATTAAATTTTTGCTTGATGCATAAAGTTAAAAGATTAAAACTGATAAAACAAATTTTAAAAAGAGACTTTTCCATTTGATTACATTTTGTATGATGGATTATGTAGAAAAAGTAGAATTGGGCTGAAAGATCTATCGCCTTATCACCTATTCAGGTTGTAAATCGTGTTTTTAAAAAGTAACTAAGTAATTAATTACTTTTGAAAATAAGTAATCAGTAAAATAATGGGATTAATTTTTGGTGAAGTAATCGGTAATTAGGTACTGATTACTATTTTCAAGTAACTTGACCAACACTGAGCATATTGTACCCTCCTTCTAACGAGGAGTGTATCAACTTTATCATGACCATGCATTGCAAATGTTGTTAAAAAGAAACTTTAGCAAGAAAACAACTTATTTCTAACACATGAAATGGAACAATAATTAAAAGAAAGACTGTTGAAATAATATGTAGTGTACATCTCTCTAATACAATTGGTTTGAGTGCAATTGTCTTGGCCTCTCAGTTGGATACTTGAACATATTCTTTTGTTATTGCAAAATTCAAACTAGACCTGATCTGATTTACAGTCTCCAAGGTGAAGCTTGAGCACACCCTTATTATGCAGCTCCACCCAGTGGGAAAACTCATTTGGCATTGCATGGACTTTCCTATCATAGGGTACATTATCATAGTAGTGGTTAGTCAGGGGAAAGAGTTTATCTGGGGATGTTTGAGGGGGATGGTCTGCCCGGACTGCTGATGGCACCAGAAGGTACAAAACTTTAAGGCTGACTCTGTTAGAACAAACAGGGCCATAAAGAAGCTCTCTTCCCCACTTTCCTTTTCCTTTGGATAAAATTTATCTGCTACCACACCCAGGCAGTTGGTGTGGTGCTCTTTGTTCATTTGGTCTCCTGAGTGAGCACAGACAAGGCAGCTGTTTTTAACTTGAACCTTGAATTTAATAAAATGTACTTTTGAGCATATTTGTCTTCTCCCTCAAAAACCCAACAATCCCCTCTCCTCAGTTCAGGGACTGTCTTTCTCCTTTCACTGTGATGTGTCAGCCTTGTCATAAATGTTTTTGTTACTAAGCAGCGACAAAGTTTTCCATGGTAGTCTTTGTGGTCTTGAAAAACCTTGGGCCCACTGTTGTCTGTCAGATGACGATTATGTTGTCCTCACTATGTTGTCTGCACCATGGGTGCTGGAAGATTTGCATTGCTGAGGAGGCCAAAACTTCATTTGCAGTTGCTCTGCTTCCACACCCGCAGTGTTGGTTCAGGTTTCTGAATCTGTGGCTGCGCTCAGCTCCTCTAGTGGAATTTGTCTCTACATCACAGCAAAGTTCAACATTTTTGCAAGCGATTTTTCGCTGCTTGATTTATTTTCCTGTCAGACAATTTTTTCACCCACTTGTACACATCCTCAGTGGGAGTCTGCTAAGGAAGTAAACCAAACTTTTCTTTCTTTCAGGCTGGTCTTAGACTTTTCATTAAGTCCCCTTTTCATGAGTTTTCTCAACTAAAACCAGTTTAAGCACATTGACGGTAAAATTTGTTTGCCTCACCGGTTCATTTAGCAAAGGGCTTGGTGCCTTGACTGAAGAGCTCGTTTGAAGACCTTTACGAGTAATCCTGCTTACTCTGCATCTAAGGATGAATAGCAGGTGTTTCCTGTAGTTTTCCATCGCCCATGCTCATACCCACATACAAGCTTCAGGCAGATTTTATTTATTTATTTATTTATTTAATCTTAACCAGAAATTCACATGAAAATAAAACTAAACTTCTTTAAGTTCACTACCACCACCTATTCCACTTCCACCACAACCACCAGCTCAGTCACTAGCGCAGTCTACTGTCCATACATTCGTTCACTCATCAGCTCAGTCATTAGCTGCACCACCTATTCTGTCTTCACCTGCTCCTGTTGTGCTTAGGGCTATGTCAGTACAACCCTCAAAGGACTGCTTTCCAACCACTTTTTTAAAGCAGAGAGACAACCATACAGTAATTCTCTCCAGGGCCTCCCCACAGACTGAGTTTCAGCCCTCAGTAGGCTCTGGACCCCTGGAGGCTAAGAAGCCAGCTGAGGACTGCACCCTGCTGTTGCTGCCTGAGCAGACTCAGTGCTCTGTGCAGCTCCGGCTTGCCTTGTGTTCACCAGAGGATTCCGAGCCTGATGGTTTTGCCTCATGAGTGCCAGAGAGTGCCTGCTGGTTTTGCTTTGTGTTCGCCAGAGGACTCCATCCCTCCGTCGTCCGTCTGTGACTGCTTCCACTGGTGGATCCAAAGAACACCTTCAGCCACCTGCGGTTTCCACATCCTCGTCTGCAGCATCATCCTTGCCTGGTCCTGCCTCGTCATCCGGTCCATGTACAGCACCTCAACATCACCGGCCACTTTCCAAGCCACTGGCAGGACATCATCCCTGTCATGGGCACCCTCCTGAACAGTGTTGCCGCCACTGCCTTCTGCGTGGCTGGCCTCTGGATTTGTTCTGCCCACGTCTACACTGTCTTCCATGCTGCCAGCCTCCAAGAGGGCTGGGGTCAGACTAAAATAAATTAATTCTCCTCAGATAAATTTTATCCAAAGATTCTTTCTTTTGTTATCAATAGTTCTCTTCACGCTGATTTATGTCCAAGGGTATGGGCCGAAATCTGTGTCATCAGAAACTGAATTTGAATAAGTTAAATTTGAATTTGAATTGCTCAGATTGAATCTGAATTGTAACTTAAATAAATCCTTTTAAAAACTGAATATGAATTAGCCTAATTTGAAATTCAATTTATTGGTTTGAAAATGATCATCACTAAATTGAAATTGAATTTTATAGATTGAAAATGAATCCATTTTCTTTGAAACCGTATTTTATCCTTTAAAAATTTAGCTCTCAAATAATTGCAGATTCACTTCTCACCATTCAGTTTCAGTTCTACAGTTCAATTTTTTGGGACTTACATCCGGTTCCGGTTCAAGAGTAATCAAGCGCAGGTTAGTAGAACTACGTTTTACTACTAGTGATGGTAAATTTTATTCTTTTTACTGAATCGAGTTTTAATGAGTCACTCACCAAAGTGAATCAGAGTTTTTTGAGTCATTTGATTCACTGAGTCAGTTGACCAGAGAGTGCAAAAAATTTACATTTTCACTCAAACTTAATTTGTTTCTCTTTTCATGTAAATCCTACTGCTACGATGAATGATTCTAAAAGAAAACAAAAACTATTTTATAGAGCAAAAAAGAACAAAAACATTTCTAAAATTAAGCAATTTCCTATCAAAATTGCTTAAT